ATCGCCGTTGACATGAAGTTATGATCGGGTGTGTCTAAGCTCCAGCCTCCAACCCAATTAGAGGCATGTACTGATGTACGCGTGCACACAAACCAGAGAGAGCCCACATGAATTTCGCCCGTGCAAAACCAGTCCGTAGGGGTGATGGATCATCCAGGTCTAGCTGTAGCCGTCGCGACTGTGCCAATTGTACAATGTCACATATGGCCCTGGTAACCCATTCGAGTTATCCAAGAAGATTCAACATACTAAGCTAAGCGCTTTATAAATTGATTCTCCTAGGAATTCAACTCGAATAGAGTTAGGGTCACAGCAATAAGAAGCAAGAGTGCTACTAAACAAACCCTTAGGCAATGTTTGGCTAATGGGATAGTGAAATGATTTTCCACCCATCAAAAGACATCTTTAAATTCTAATCATTCATTCTCCATCTTTCATTTAATCCTAACCCTTTATTTATTTCCCAATCTCAATCCCACCTTTAATTTCCCATTATCCAAACACACCCTTAAATCTATTTTTTTAAGGAAAACCTTATATCTATCTTTTGAAACATACGCACTCCCTCTCTTTATAGAATTGTATCATGTTGGACACTGATATCCTCTTCAAAATACAATTTTGATTTCTATTGTGAAATACAATAATGGGAACCCTAATAAAATTGCAGTATATGTGATAACAATCCGGCACAGGTGGGGTCGGCCGAGGCCCAATAACTTAAGGTTGCCCGGACCCCAACAGTTCTTTGGCACACCCACTCAGGGAAAGGCCCAATCTCCTTAAAAGACTAGTCCGATAGGGGAAGGGTGGCTCTCCCTTTTAAGGGGCTTCCTCTTTCCCAATCTCCCTAAAAAACTAGTCCGATAGAGGAAGGGTGGCTCTCCCTTTTAAGGTGGCTTCCTCCTCCCAAGCTAAGCAAAGAGGAAGGGTGGCTCTCCCTTTTAAGGTGGCTTCCTCCTCCCAAGCTAAGCAAGGTGGGATTATTCAGAGGCTCACATGGTCGCCGCCTCCTCCCAAGCTAAGCAAGGTGGGATTATTCAGAGGCTCACACGGTCGCCGGCCGACTTTAGTGTCTCTGCCAGCGGGTAATAGTGGAGGATGTCCTCATCATTCCCACCCCCTTAACAAGGGCCTAGCTCTGATACCAAATGATAACAATCCGGCACAGGTGGGGTCGGCCGAGGCCCAATAACTTAAGGTTGCCCGGACCCCAACAGTTCTTTGGCACACCCACTCAGGGAAAGGCCCAATCTCCCTAAAAGACTAGTCCGATAGGGGAAGGGTGGCTCTCCCTTTTAAGGTGGCTTCCTCCTCCCAAATTAAGCAAGGTGGGATTATTCAGAGGCTCACACGGTCGCCGCCCGACTTTAGCGTCTCTACCAGCGGGTAATAGTGAAGGATGTCCTCATCAATATGCGAGACAAATCAACACGCACACATGATTGTCATGCATCGATCCAAATGTATAAAAAGAAGCGAGAGCTCTAAAATGTTAACAAACTGACCTTTCTGAAAAACTTATTTTAAAAATACACAGCACCAAAAGTTTATTTAAAAATAAGCCAGGACCTCAACATTAAACCCGATGGCATTGTGGTTCAATATCTCAGCTATCCGCTAGCAATGGCGACCTAAAAGGTGTGAGTGCTGAGCGCTTTGGCGTACTAAACTCCCAACCTCAGCTCTGACCTCAATGCCAAATTGGACCGCCAGTTACGATTGATGATAGATGTTGAACCCCAGTGAAATTTTTGACATAAGTTTCGTGGCACAACCTACTATTGAAACAAGTTTTTGAAAAGGGTATGGCAAACTTGAGGGCAAACAATCTGATCAGGATATTGTTCTCTAATCATTATCTTCATTTTTTTAAAGGATTCCAATTTATTATCTTGTCTTGCTTTTCACCAATCACATGTTTTTTTTTTCTAAATCTCATCAACGCTATAATCCTAAACCTCGCTCCGCTGCAATCTGCAATCGCTTTCAACCTTTTGCCCACACCATCAAACATGCGTGGTTCTCGGCCTAACTCGCTAGCTCTCATACTACTCCTTTCATCTTAATATAAATGTATTTAGTATAGTACAGAATCTAGACAACTAATCCAATTATTCATATTTATAGTTTGTGCATTGAGTTATTGAGGAAAAAGTGCTTGCAAGAGTGTGGGGTCTTCCAATATACTTCCTACATTTCAAGTTATAAGACTTTCTAGCATTGCTCACATTTATATATATGTTAATGAATCTAGACATATATATGTGCTAGATTTATTAACATCTATATGAATATAGATAATGCTAGAAAGTCTTATAGTATAAAACGGAGGAAGTAAATCATTAAGAGGTTCTTATTTTTGGAAAGGGATCTTAAAGGTCAGGTGCTGGGTGAAACTAGGATTTGAATGGCTCATTGGAGATGGTTTACACATTTGGTTTTGGCATGATGTATCGTGGGGTTCCTGTCCTTTGAAAGTGACCTTTTCCAAAATCTCTGAGACTTGCAACCAGCAAGACATTCTGGTTTCAGAGGTGATGAGATTAGCGTTTGGTAGTCTGACTTTTAGAAGAGCTTTTGGAGAAAGTGAGATTGAGGAATGGAACACACTGAGAGAAGTGGTTGATAACCTAGAGCTCAATCCAAATCCTGACATTATGAGACGGGGACTCACAACTACCGAATCTTTCACAACTCAATATCTATACAAAGCCATAACATTCAGAGGTGTGAGAGGTTTGAAGATGCAAGAGGTGTGGCAGTCCCCTAGCCTTATGAAAATGAAACACTTTCTCTGGCAAGCTGAGAGATGGAATCCAGTCAGCTGAACAATTTAAAAAGAAGGGGGAAGGCTCCGAAAAATGCCTTTTGTGTGGTACTTTGGAATCCACAAATCATATCCTTTTCATGTGTCCCATGGCGTCGTTTATCTGGTGTATTTGGGTGGAGTGTAATACCTCGAGATTTCAGTGAATTTTTCTTACTAATTAACTCTCTTAAGCACTCTCAATCTAGAGTTTTTATTGCTCTATTAGTGGCTGTTTGTTAGGTGCTGCGAACCACTAGAAATAATATAATCTTCAGAAATAAGTTGATATGCTCCCCGCTTATCATTCCTTTTCAAATTGTTTCTCATTTGCAGCAGTGGAAATCCCTTAGTGCCAAGGATGCTGAAGGGTTTGATATGGTATCTGAGGCATTGAGGGGGGCGACTACAACACTGAATACGCAGAGAGCTGGGATCGGTTGAGATGCTTACTTAGTCCTTTTAGGCTGGCGACTTCTACGTTCTATTTTACTACTCTGTATTTTGTTAGCCTACTGATGAACCCTGAGTTCCTCTCGACACTCAAGGCTGTTGTTGGCCCGATCTTTCGGTGAGTTGTGATAACTACGATTTGGGAGAAACGTTGACGATCCGACTACAACCGTACGAGACGTTGTGTTGCGCCTTTGCGATCGATACACCTCTCCGTTGAAGTCAGCAGTGTAGCAGGTGGCCGAATTGGATTCTGGCACTTGGAGGACTCGAACTTGATATCTTGTTGTTCATCCATGATATGAGCAACGGATGTATCCGTAGTAGCCATGGTCACATCACCTACTGATGAGTTGGGTTGTGTTTAATAGTTAGTTGTTCGATCTCTGTTGAACTTTGACTTGGTGCCTTTGTTGTGCCAATTTTTTTGCTGGGGCTTAAGTTGTAAAATGGGCATCCCCTGAATACTGTTACTCTCTTTTCACATTAGCTGGGCCTCTATGCCTTTTGTCCAATTATTTATATGAGTAAATTTCACAAAACTTGAGTTGGGTTGTGTTTAATAGTTAGTTGTTCAATCTCTGTTGAACTTTGACTTGGTGCCTTTGTTGTGCCAATTTTTTTGCTGGGGCTTAAGTTGTAAAATGGGCATTCCCTGAATACTGTTACTCTCTTTTCACATAAGCTGGGCCTCTATGCCTTTTGTCCAATTATTTATATGAGTAAATTTTACAAAACTACAGGTATTTTGACCAAATTATCACAAAACTACAGATTTAAGGAGTTGTATCACAAAACTACACATTTAGCACCAAATTTATCACAAAACTACATATTTTAGGTTAAGTATCACAAAAATGCATATTTAATATTGAACTTATCACAAAACTACAACTTTTAAAGTTTAAATCCTAGCACTATTGTTATGGTGGAGCTATAAACATTATTACTTTGTGATTAAATTGGTTCTAAACCTGTAGTTTTATTATAATTTAGTTACTAAACGTGTAGTTTTGTGACACTTCATCTTAAATGAGTAGTTTTATGATAAATTTGGTGCTAAATGTGTAGTTTTGTGATACAACTCCTTAAATCTGTAGTTTTGTGATAGTTTGGTCATAGTATCTGTAGTTTTGTGAAATTTACTCTATTTATATTTATAGTATTATAGGATATATCACCATCCTAAATACAACAATGGGAGTACCAAACAAATCGATTTACTATGGCAGTGTTTAGTTTCCTTTAAACTTTTAAAAAATTCCATCACATCAAATGTTTGGACACATACATGGAGTATTAAATGTGAAAAAAAACCAATTACACAGTTTGCATGTAAATTGCGAGACGAATCTTCTGAGCCTAATTACGCTTTGATTTGATAATGTGATGCTACAGTAAACATTTGCTAATGATGGATTAATTAGGCTTAATAAATTTGTTTCGCAGTTTACATGCGAAATCTATAATTTGTTTTGTTATTAGTCTACGTTTAATACTTCAAATATGTGTGTTTATACTTAAAACATTTTCGGCACACGAACGCCTACATTTCATTTGAGAACAGTATTAATAATACATTTCAATATTTTAGGAGACGGAGCAAGACAGGGGTCAGAAACCGTTGGATCGAGATCCCACGGCTTAGATCGTGTAATCTCGGTCGAATTTCGCCTGCGGCGGGACCCACAGCCTGCCTCTCCGCCTCGGGTTTGGGCCCACCCGCAAGAGGAGAGACACCGCGAAGCCTTTAATCCGGGAGGGTTCTAGAAACATCTAGGCTCTTCTCAGGCCCCGGCCCCGGCCGCGAACGATCACCGTTCACCACCACCGCCTCCGCCGCCGCCGTCTCTTCCTCCCCCGCATTCCACCCCCCGCGCCCTAGCGCAGCAACCAACTCAACCCACCCCTACCCTTCTTGCGTAATCTTCGCTGGCCGGCGGCGGCGGCGACGGCGGCTCGCGAGCGCGGCGCACGGTCTCCCCCGCCCCGCCCGCCGCGCGACGGTTAGCCGGCGCCGCAGCTCCTCGCGTTCGGAGCACAGGCCACCACCCGAACGCGGCCCCTCATCGCGCGCGGCTCCGTGCAGCCGCGGACCTCGACGCCCGGCGGCTCCTCCATTCCTGCCGCAGGCAGGCCTCTCTCCACGAGACGACCGGAGGCTTCCGCGCGCGCGGGGGGGCCCGAACAGCAGCGGCTCCCGTGAAGCACCCGCCGCCGCCGCCGCCGCGCCGCGTGCCGAGACGACAGGTGAATCCCATTTCCGTGCGGCCGGGCGGCCACTTCCGCCGCCTCAACCGCGTACCTCGACGACCGGCGGCGCTGCTCACGGTCGGCGGCGTCCCCGAAGGCTCGCTCAACCTCGCCGCAGCGCGCGGGAGCTTTCCCGAAGGTTCTACCTAACACCTCTCTCTCGGGGCACGACCCTTGCCTCCCCCAAGGCTCAACCTCCCGGCGGCGCGCAGCCGGCCTTCTCAAGTGCTCGCCCTCGCCGTGCGCGCCCGTAAGTGCCATGACCTGAAACTAGATTGTGCATTTTCAATCTACAAGTTGCAAGGTTACTAACGCATACATATTTTCAGATTTAAAGTTTACTGGTAGATAATTTCATATAAACTTTTTGAACGACAATTTCATACAAACTTGATTCTTAAAGTGCTCATCGTTTTGATTTCTGCAGTAATGGTACTTCAGGAAATTCCATATTGATCTTAATGAACGCCTCCCACCATGCAATCTAATTTGGTGATACTGAATATAGGTAATAAACTAGTTTAACAGGTAGTAAGTACCCATAGCTATAAATGCAATATTTGAGGTGCTTTGTCATATTTATATTCACATTCATATGTTGTCCGAAATTCTGAAAGAAAGCATTGTTGACTACATTTGGATAAAATGCTATCAAGTTATGGGGGACTGAAATTTTGGCTGCCTGGCTGCTCCAATCGAGCACTGGATACTACTTTATTGTGTTTAAATTTTCAGGCGTTCTGTCTCCTAGTCCCCCCCCCCCCTCTCTCCCTCTCCCTCTCCCCTATGCAACTCCATGCTCTAACCAAATTTCTCCTTCAAAATCATTGCACTGCTACACTTCTTTCTCATTTCTGCAAGCCACACCCAGTGAGCCGATGAGGCATTCGAACATTAAATCAAACCTTTGATAATCACTTGCTCGTTAGCTTAAGATATGGTTGGCGATTCACTTCAATTTCAGGAAATGATAGTTTACACTAGCGGCAAATGCTAATTCTAATGAAATTATCAATGTTAATTATGATCTGGTTGATAGTCATAGTGCTACATTTAAAATTAACCGATATGTATCTATGTAAATATGTATGTAGTATGTTCCGATAGAGACCAAATGATAGGCATGCAAACGAATTTTTTTGTCTGTTGTCAAACCGTCATAATGTACTATATACCATGTAAAGCCTTGGAATGTACGCATATTGTTACTACACTATTTTTATGTGATCATTGGCGCTTAACAACTTCACCTCCTCATGACCAAATCCCAACTCTACCACTAGCATAGTAATCCAGTAAGGAGTGATTGCTTGGGTATGTTTGGACCGTTTGCTTTGAAGAGCAAAGAAACCAATGAACTTTCCTTTCCTGCTCAGCTAACTTGTCCGCTGAAGCATATATTTTTCTTTTGGGCTTAAATGCTGATATGTTTGTAGAGTATGTTCACGTTCCAATATATGTTGTCTTGACCAGCTAATTTTGAAGTTTGCAGGTTTTTCTACATCTTCTGAAAATGGCAGAAGTGATTACAGATGCACCTCTTTCAGTAAAAACCAAAGTATGCAATCAGTACTTTCCAAACCATGCCTTTATCTAACAGATAACTTTTTTTAGTTATCTTCATTACTTCACTTAATTATATCTGCATACAGTCATAAATGTGTGTGTGCTTTAAGCACATTTTCTTATTTTATTTTTCAACTAATTGTAGGCTGTTGACATGCTGGAGTGTTATTTGATTGATGCGGATGTGAAAAGAATGGATGATGATTTAAAGTACTGTCAAGGTTCTATTCGATATGGATTTGACATCTCATCTTCAATAAAGACAACTTTCCTTTTGTTTGAGGATAATAGAAGTGCACAAGACACAGTTGATAAGTTGAATTTAATGAACCACCCGTCCATTATGAGAAGCTTAGGTGATGTGATTTGTTTCGACCAACACCTTCCAAATCATGTTCTGCCTTTTCCTTATTTCGACACGACCTATGCTGACTATCTAGACAAGAAGAGCAATAAAACTTTTGAGTTCAAGAGATTTACACCGGAATTTATTCAATTGACTAGGTAAGTTCTTTTACACATCAATTATATGCATGTATTTAAAAATTTATAATTTATTTGGTTATTTAAATGTTTATAGCCAGGTAGTCCATGGAATGTCAGCTCTGCAAGAAAAAGGATTTTGCTGTCCAAACCTGGAGGGCAAAGATATCTTCAAGGAGAATAATTGTATCAGTGCGAAGATATGGCATTTCTGCATTTGCACAGGTTGCACAGGAGGTAACTGTAATTTTTCATTTATTGTGCATCAGAGTACAAATTTTATAGACTTTGTGTAACTAAGTCACATTATATAAACTGCTTAAGCACACCCATATAACAAGTTCAACATAGAAGTTGTGGGACTTTGTACCCATCTTACAAGTTGTTTTACCTTAAATGCATACTACTTTTCCAATATAAATGGAAGTGATCATTTCTAATTTTTTTTAGTTTCTTGCACTCATTGTAGATAAGCATACTGATTGGAGGAGGCTTGGACAATTACTTAAAAAGACTGCTGTTGACCACAAATGCCTTACTATAGAAATTGAAGATCTGTGCACTAAGATAAACAAAGGCATACTTGAAGGGTATGCTCTTATCCTTTCTCTTTTCGAATGTTGAGCTATGTTTTTATAGAAAATTGGAGAACTGATATTAGCGCTACAAAATATGTAATTTTTTTCTTGGCTGAGAAAGAAATTATGTTTTGATAATTCATACTGTAGCTATTGAGATACACTGCGAATAAAACTTTGCATGAAGTGTCTCTGTGAACTAGTTGATTTCCACATTTCCTTGTTTTCTTTCCTTTAGCCATGCTATATACAAAATTGAACAATTGCCACTTCTAGACATGCCAGCTCAAAGATTACAACTAGTATAATGGCATTGAATGTTTGAGAAGATGTTTAGTTGAATATTTGCCACTCTGTTCTATTCTTAACAGTACTTTACCAATCAGTATAGTAGAATTTCCTAATGAGATGGAAATGCCCCTGGTCAAAGAAGTATTCAACCTGCATGATGCATAGATCAATAAGTAAACATTCCTGGAAGTAATACTCTACTATGATGCTGCCCAAAACATGTATAACTGAATATTTTCTGCCATGTCCTAACTTCAGTAGTACTTGTACCAATCTGTTTAATGGAATGGCCTGATGAGAGAAATATTCCTGGTCTCAAAGTATGAACCCACATGATGCATACATCATCTTTAAGCATTCTTGGAAGTAACAATCTATGCATTGGAAGTTGTTGTAAGAAATGAATACACTCCTGATTACCTTTTGCAGGATGTTCCCTAATTGACGGATTATTTATGTTCTCTAATTGAACGGGTTATTTACGTTTCAACAATGAATTGTTAATTTCTTGTGAATTTGAATCCAGTTCGCTACAGGCTGCATGTACTGTTCCTGGACAGCATGCAAAAGATAGTCTCATATTAATATAGCTATACATATCCAAGTTCAATTCCCATACAAATTTTTTTGTTGATAACAGTAGTGTCAACAAAGACCAAGAAGATCAAAGAAACATCCTAGTAAACTCACAAAGACAGAAAATGTTCAGGAAGAAAGAAATACATTATTATTATTATTATTACCGGCTACATGGATTGTATGGTCCGATCACTTTTGACTCCCTAGGATTATATTTATTTGGCAGGGGCATCACTATCTTGTTATGTTGGATTGTTGGTGTGGTTCACATGCTGGTATATATTACAAAAGATTAGCTAGATTGGCCAATATCCAATTACACACGTTTTGGGTGATTTCTTGAAGTGGCAATATTTGGAATATCACTTATCCAAATTCCCCTTTTTGATACGCAGACTATTTTTTGAACTAACTAGGAAAAGTCAATAAGTGAGACTTCCAGTATTTAAACCTTTAATAAGTAAAAGTTTGTGTCAAACTTGTGATTGTCCTTCAAAACCTCTTGTGAACTTTGCGTCGCTTACAGCTTGTTTTGTCCAGTTTGTATCAATGTAAGTACCTGTTATGGCGGCTCTATGGAGCAGACATACCACTGACATAGGTGTTATGGCACCAGCGTAGTAGCAGGCTTGGCAGCACCTAGATTTGGTGGTCGAACCAGCTAAGAACTGCAGATAACTAATCTTTTGTCATGGGTCAGGGTTGCATCACAACAGTCCTAGTGTTGCAGCTGTGCTGGATGAAACACTGACAAGTGGAACCTGGATGATGTGGGAGAATTATACTAAGTTTAGCATCAAATGAAATGAGATCCTGTCTTCTATTTCTACTATTGTTCTTTCTACTTTGGTTTCCTTCTGCTCCACACCCTGATTTCCTTATTTCCTTCCCAAATCACTGTAGCTTAACTAGGCTTTCTACTTTGGTTTCCTTCTGCTCCACACCCTGATTTCCTTATTTCCTTCCCAAATCACTGTAACTTAACTAGGCTTCCCTGCTGGTAATCTACATGTACAGTTAGCCTCTAGGCTGTTTTTATTCTTTGTTCTTGCTATCAATATAATGGCAGCCTCCTGCGCTGACCTTTTGAAAAAAAAAACTTTAACTTGTACTTATATTCTGTTGCTTATTGTGTAGTTCCATTTCATATAACTTGTCCTTATATATTCTGTTGCTTATTGTGTAGTTTGATTTCATGCGAGTCCAGGTCATAACTTAATATAAGGAATTCATTTTCACTGATAGTAAACTCAATACAAGTCTTCGAGTTTTATAGCCGCCGATGTGTAGTTGGTTAGACCGCCAAACCCGATGAAACACAAACCGAAGAACTCTCAGAGTAGATGACAAATTTATTGCTTCTCTCTATGTTTACAAAGTGCAACAACAGCACTCCTTATAAAAAATCTCGACTAATCTCGAAACCCTAACTATACTATTAACTCAATTGCTCTCAAAAGCGATATCGAGAAGCCTCACGCTCCCTCTCTATTTATACATAAAGTAGGTAGCCTAAAGCCACGAACCAAACTCATACTAGAAGTCCTAATCCACTTAGGAAACCTTCCTGTACAAGAAACAAACTTTACAAACTCCAATCATACCAACTTTGGACTCCTTCCAAATTTGACTCCACATCCCATACGCACACAATACCTCTATCGTATGACATATGGAATCTTCACCAACCACGTGCATTGAACTCTAGCCTAAGTATCCCGCATGATATCTGACAGTCATGGACATCGTCTTATCCCCAAGCTGACTCCCGATCCATCACGGGCAATACTCTCCCGAGGCATCAAGTCACCTACACATGAATCAAACAAAGAAACCATATTCCGAGACCAAGCTATCCCCAACTTGACTCATCGTTAGCAAACAACAGTATTACACACATATAGTTTCCATCTAGAAGCCATAAATATGAAACAATCACGAATATCCAAACAAACAACCCGAAATCGAAACCGACACAGAATCGGCCGGTCAGACCGTGGGCTGGCCGGTCTGACCACTCGATCACCTCCGGTCTGACCGGCATACACAGCCCGGTCTAACCGGACCCAAATCACAGCAGTTCCTGTAGATCACCGGTAAAATCCAATCATCTCCAAAACCACTTCGCAAATAAGTTCCAAATATTAAAACCAATAATCATAGATGCCAATTTTTTATCACAGAATAACAATAAAAAATACTTTGATTTTACATAACACTCTTGATTTCCTTGCCATCCAAATGATCCAGCAAATCAGCATGAACACGCTGTCGAAAGCCATCCTGTAGCTCGTCCGAAAACGCAGTCTCGTGTTAATCAACCAATCTGGCAGCTTAGCACTGGCGTCTAATTTTGTAGGTTGTACCACCAAAATTCCTGATGAAAACCGAACTGATTTTTCTCGGATTGTGGATTCACCTTCGTGTGTTTCTGTGGAATTGCAAAGGGATCATTGAGCAAAGCAGTTATCTTGTATTGGGTAAAATGAATGGCCGTCATAGACCATCCAATTTGCCAGAGAACATTATATATCACGGTGAAAAGAGGCTAACTATACAGATATTTTTTTTAATGGAAAACTGTACAGATATAGACAATTAGGGATTAAAATACTGATGTGTACTGAACATAGTTGAACACCCTTATAGTAATGAAGAAGGCGTAATTATTTTTGAGACATGAGAGCACAACAAATAAAGCATTAGCTGCGGTAGAAAGGTAAAAGGAATCAATAGAACTTCAATTAGCCTGTCATATTTGCTAAAGCCAACCAGATGCTTTTTGTTGCTTTTTGTTCAACAAATATAAATTACTCCATATAATGTATTTACTCCATATAATGTATTTCTTGGTGAAAGGCATGCTAAAAGAAAAATAAAAGTAAATACAATTTTTACACTTGCAACACAATTTGGTCGATTCATATAAATATAACTCTTCAATGTGGGCCTGCTCGCAAGAAACCTAAGGACCAATAGCAAGAAATTGATTTTTTATTTCATTGACACCGAGGTAGCTGCTAGATTCATTCAAGAGTTATTTAATTCACCAGCCCAGAAGATGTGTAACAATATCGGTATCCTTGATTCCTCTTTGTGCTGCATATTCGGGTAAAAGTAAAGAGGCATATAATATTAGATTCAGAGTTCTATAAAATGATTTGCAGAATTAAAATCTACCATAGCATACATTGCAGTTGTATTTTTTAGATAATGGGCAATGTCCGGCCTCTGCATCCTATCCTAATGTGGATGCACACGGCCAAACAAAGTACAATTAGAGGTACATAGACCGAGCTTTAACAAAAAGATTACATAACTAACCTAAAAATTACATCCAAATAAGCAAGTTTCATACACGCAAGAGAGAAAAGCAAAGTCTACACTTGTAATCTTCCTCTAGAATTCCAACCATGCTTGGAGAAGAAATCCATCACATTGGCTTCCAGCAACATTTATCCTTTCTTCACCATGTTCCCATCTTCTTCTTTAAGCAACAAGGCCCATTGCCATACCCAATTTGTTCCTTTGAATATTTACATGCATAAAAGAATTAATTTTGGTACCATTAAATACCGCATCATTTTGGCATAACCATACCGCCCAACTTAATGCCCCAATACATCCTAGAAAGTGATATTTTAGCTTAGCTTGCAAACCATTAAGCCAACCATTGAAAAGATGCGCAACACTATTAGGTGGTTGAATACCAAAAGGATAATATGTATAGCACTCCAAATATACTTTACAACACGGCATTCAACGAAAAGGTCATGCATGCTCTCATTAAAGCTAAAAAAAAACACTTAGTGCTACCTTTCCACTTTCTTTTCGTTAGATTATCCTTTGTTAACATGACTCCCTTTTGCATGTATCACAGGAAAATATTTATTTTCAGCGGAATTCTATATTTCCAAATCAAAGATTTCCTTGGTATAACATCTTGATACATAATCGCCATGTACATAGAATTTATTGTAAAAGTTCCATCTCCTTTCAACTTCCATTTGAACAAGTCACTTTGTTCCGAGAGGTTAAAATAACCGACTTTTGCCACTAATTGTCACGTCTTGATTGTTTGCTTTTTGTTCTTTTCACTTGTTTGTGAAAATTCACCTTTAGTTTGTTCACCTAAAATAGCTTAATAAAAATTTCGTTAAATCAAAAGGGTTTAATGTGATTAATTAATTAATTATGCTGCTTGTTTGTTTTGTTGTATCTTAATCGAAGTTAATTGGATTTAGTTTGTATTTCGGAAGTGGATCTCAAATTCCTAATCCAATTTCGCCCAAATCCAATATTCATGCTCAATTCCTGTTATTCTAAATCCTCCTAAAATTCCAAATACTTCACATTTGGAATTTCCTAAAATGTTCCTGTCCTTTTCCCTTTTTCCTTCCTTTCTTTCTCTATTTTCCTATTTTCCTTTTTGCCCCTTCTTCTTCCTTATTATTTTTTCCCTCCTACCTCCAGCCGGCCACCTTCCCTGCTGCAGGCCCGAGGAGGCCAAGCCAGAGCCCGCGCCGTCACCCTCGGCCCGGCCTTCCTCTCCTCCACATCTCCCTGGCCCACACCGCCACCGACCTGACCCAGCCTACATCGCATCGCCGCCAGACTCCCGCACCTGGTGCTGCCTTTCCAAAACCGAGTCGTGATACGCCACATCATACATGCATGATGGGAGCAAATCCTCTGGATAATAATGACATAGCATACTATATTCTTACATTAACGGGATCGGTATAATCACCGTGACCGTGAGAAGCCACCGCCGTTGCTGTTTTTTTCCTTCATGCGCCATCGCCGTCAGTGAGCTCCGAGGCCGAAGCCTCTTTTTTCCTCCCACGCCACTCCCTTCTCTCTTCCCCATCTCCGGCGTACGTCGCCCGCTGCGGAGCACCGTCCACACGCTGTCTCAGAGCCCGGTGCTACACCATAGCATCCGCCTCCATCTCCTCTTGCCGGCGCCTCCTTTCTCTGATGCTGTCATGCGCCGTCGCCGGTCACGCCATGGTCGCGTCGTGCCCATGGCGTCGTTGGTGGAGGGCAGCCTCTCCACCCATGTGCCACCGACATGTAGGATCCCGCAATTAAAAAACCCCAAGCAATCTAAGCCGTCCAATTCTAGATTGAATCTCAACCTTTGGATCTACATAGTCCTTTCCATTGCCACGTCAGCCCTAGATCTTCCCACGTCATCGCCATGTCATCCATCTTTGTCCATGTGTCGCCACGAGGCAGTCCATGTCAGTCAATCCATCATGCACCGAGTCCACCCAACCCAAGCCACTTACCAGTGGGCCCAACATATTTTTGTATACAAAAATAATTCAATTCCTGAAATTAAATATCAGGATTTTCTCTAAATTCAAACTTCCGGAGGTTATAACTTTTTCGTTCGAACTTCGATTCTATCCGTTCTTCTTCCTAAATTATTCTAAAAGCGAACTCTACCTCCTAGTTCAGTTTGTTATTTTTTTATGTTATTTAGTTAGACTTTTCTTTTGTTTATTTATTTCTCGTTTGAGATTGTGTAGACGTTGGAGTAGAGGAGCAGTTCACTACAGAAGACGCGATGCAAGGACAATACTTGAAGCAAGGCAAGTGCACTCTTTGAACATATTGGACCCAGTTTATAAAACATTTTATTTTGAATACATGCATTATTTTATTTATAAACTATCGATGGG